ATATGAATCATGTTTGATTACTTGTTAACTTGATTATTAATTAATCGTGCTTAACTAATGGCAGAATTAATAGGAAGTTTAGTTTTATATTGTTTGACTTTTTTTATATTATTTTATATTTGTTTAAGCTCTTGATTCTATGAAGTTTTAATTCCAAATAATTTAAATTGTAGAAGTTATAAACCTTTAATAAGTACGGTATAGATAACAATCTACAAGTCTTCATCAAATCGCGTATTGCAATAAAAATACTGTGATGTTGGTTGCATACTTGCAATGATGACGTCGGGTGCAATAATTAATTATATATATATATATAAGTACGAAGGCTTTCACGGCCGGTGTGAATTGAATTAAAATTAGAACTAAAACTAGAAACTTTCGGGTTTCGCCGTGCGTCTTTTAAGAAAAGATTTGACGTTTCGGACGCCATGTTGCACCCTTCTTCAGAAACTGGTTCGAAGTGTATAAGTTATTTCTTTCTGCTACCCATTATGCCGCAGTTCTTAACATGCCTTACCAACAACGAATTCAGCTAGATATATTTATTTATTACTTACTTTCAAATCAATATTCCACAGATGTATCTCCATATTGATAATGTCTATAGAAAAAAAAAAACAGTATAAATCGATGCAGAGTACAAAGAATAGTGTAGCGAGTCCAAGGGCCGAAAAAAATAATGAAAACGTGTCAGTTGTTATCGCGCCGGGTCGTTGTACTCCAGGATTGATATCGAAAAAAGTATTAATTAACAAAGTTATTTTTAAAATAGAATAACATTTTTAATTGGTAAAATAAAATTGTGTAGAAAGAAGTAACAAGCTGTTTTTAACAAGCACCCTACAAAGAGTTGGAGAACAAAATATTTCTTTGTGTAACACATGTACATTCATAATTGATGCTCCTCAAAGAAGCATTATAAAACCGGCGAACATTAATGAGTAACTTCGTGAATGCGTAGAGAATAAGGACGGCACTTCGCTGATTTTATTTAGAAAACAAATCTTTAAATTGCAGATTTAAAAATGGAAAATGATTGCAGCATTCTTTGAAACTCGTAAACATCCCCACAAAAGCGATAATATTACAATGATTTCCTAGAATTAGTTTCAATAAAAATATGTAGCAGCCCCCAAAATGATTTCTTAGAATAGCTTCTTACGGCGAGCTTCGGCTGAAAAGTAACTACCTCGTAGAAAATATTATAAGGTCGTCTTTCAAGAAGCTATTTTGATATGTAAAAAATGAAGTTACCGGGGGGTTGATATCGGTCTTGTAAGCGAATTAAGTGCGCTAATTAAAAGTTGAAAAACCCGTGGGCCGAGGCGGTAATGAAATTTCTAATTCCCAGAGCCGAAACTTAATATCGTGCCAGAAATATCGGAAATGGCTCACGGTCAACATTGCACTCCGGAACATTTAATTAAACATCGAATGGCGACGCAGTTCCCTCGGAAATTTAAATTAGCTTTTCGGTGAGTTCCGATCGCGAATTTTATTTCAACGACGACGACCCAACGGAATTAATCGAATTTAATAACTATCCCTCTCGATCTCTTAAAACGCGAACTTGAAAATAAACCAAATTCGCCTCGCGGATGATGAATTAAAGCGGAAAACGATGCAAACGAGCTTTCGTGTTTGGCGGTGTTAAACATGCGAGCCAATTAACCCAAAAACTGGGTTAGTTCCGTCTCATTACTTGCTTCTCTACCCAACTTCAATTAGTACTGGAAAAATTATTGTACAATTTAAGAGTTGATAAGGTTTATATCTGCGGTTATTATCTCTAGTTGACCTAGACAAATTGGTACTAAAAACTCAATTTGCATTTTAAAAATATTTTTAAATCCAACCGCGAAATTATTTAAAACACGCACACTGACTGATTTTCAATGGCAGAAATAAATTAATTTTGCTATTCGCGGTACATAGTTTATTTTATAATTAAATTGGTTTAATAATGAAAATGCGTATGATATTATTTGATTTTACGTGGATTTTCAGACATCAATATAAAATAGTTTCAGTTCAAGGTCAAATTTACAACGTTATTCATGTTATCCACCGGTTCAAATATATATTCGACGTGCAATAAGAATTTAGTACCTCGTAAAATATTGATAATAAAAACCTTCATCTTGTATTTTAACCGGGGCTATTCCAAGAAAATTATTTAAAGCATGCGCTGAATGATTAAATTAAAATTCAAATTAAATTGGTGATAAGAATTTAACTTGTATATTTGTATGAAAGTTGAGTGAGCAAATAGTGTTCACAGTAAACAGCTTATTCCATAATTAAATTAGTTTAATAATGAAAATATGTACGTTATTATTCAATTTCACGTGAGTACAAGGTCGAATTTACAATGTTATTCATCTGGGTTCGTGGCATGCATCCCTTGAAACATATATTCCAATGGGATATATAATAGGGAATGCGGCTAAATTGATAATAAGAATTCACTACATCGTAAAATGTATTACATCGCCATATTGCATAGTAATAAATAGTAGTACATCGTATAACGGATTCAGAATCTATCGTAATATTTAATAGTGGTAATACATCATTTTATAACGTGGTATAAATCTTGATATAATAAATAGTACGAGATAAGTGAATAAATAATGCAAGAATGTATAAATAGAAATTGGAAATGCTAAGTTAATTGGCCGGTGATTTGTGAATGAATGGAGGGAATGGCGAGAGTAAACCGCGTTTATCGGCTAATCATCCGTCGACCGTTTTCCTGTTTACGGTCGGAACTTAGTTCGAATCGATTTGAGCTCTCGAACTACGTGGACAAACGGACCGTTTTAGGTGAGTCGGAGTTGCCGTCGCTGCTGAAGGGGCGTCGATTTCGGAGGCCGTTTTCAATGCATACTAAAACGGAAAGAATAATGGGATTAGCTGGAATAAATGGCACCGTACGCGGAGGTGCTCTACATTTCAGGAAATTTGAAATGTCACTTCCAACCAGCCGACGTTTGTTATTCAGTCCTTCCGGTATTATTTAAACACAATAGCCCGGCGCCGCTGAGGTTAGCGGGTACAATGACATAATACATACAGCATTACCGCCTTACTCTCGCCGTTCTTAAATTTACGAATGCGATAATTACATTGCGGACTCAAATTTTGACACTTTAATAACAACTTTATACTTTACCAACATTCATTCATAATTAAAATCACACTCAATAATATTACAACACTCCGTCGATCGTGATATAAACAAACATATATTGAAAGGTTGATATAGAGCAAGTTGAGATTTGTCACTGAGTAATTCCAGAAAGCGGTTTGTTAAGCCCCAACTGATTGATCTGAATCCGGTTAAAAGAGCTTCTACTCTAATACATACGGACTCTTGATTCCACTCTACCAAATAGACCAGTTAAGCTGTCACGACGTCAACGTGGATAATCTTGGATTTTTGTGAATCTTTGAAATATTTTACGTTTAGCTTTAATTTCTAAGTATTCAACATTTTTTTTAATGTTCTAATCAATAAATACAAAATTGATATTAACAACATCAATATATACAAGTTTTTTGCTTAATATTGTTGTGAAAGATGAATAAAATAAATGTTTCACGTACAAAGAACCTTTTATATATAAATTTTTTTTCAAAGAATAAGATTTAAAAGTACCATTATGTATGTATACAGACTCAAGGAGTCGGGAGAAGTATTTTAAATAATAAAAAAAGGGAAAAAATTTCTCTCAGTATAAAGCTCAGGAATGGGTATCGAAAAATGTACCCGTTGCATTTTATAATATTAAATATTTACCCTATCGTGGATATTAATATCCGAAAGAACATTTCTACGTATATAAAACGAAATAAAATTTAATACCGACATACCAAAAGTCTCTATAATAAAAGTATCTATGTTGTAAAGGGTTTAATTTTAATTTTTGGGATAGTTTAAAATTCATGTGGTTTTGCAAGTGATTTTTCTTCCGACTGAAAATATGAGATCTTTAAGGATATGAAGCAATTTATACCAGATGTTGCGAAAGGTTGCCAACGGTTCGCTTCGAAAGCGGAGACAAGAAAAACGCCTAAAATATCGAACGACTGTTGAAATATTGGGGCCGTCATTTGTAAGACCCCCCAGCCTGGTGGGTCTCACTGACCTTGCGCTATGTTCGTAAATTACCGATGCACCCACGAATGACCGTTTTTCCGCTCAAATTCGGACAACCATGAATATTTTGCCCGCCTCTATTTATTATTTTAAAACGCAATTTGAATTTTGTAATTAAATACCGAAACCACCTTAGTTGATTTGCAACTAAATTGATCATCAAACTTCTTGCATAAATTTTTGGGTCAAAAAATTCAACCTTGGTCGTAAAATTCAAAATCATCAAGTAAAAAAAAGTTTAAGCGCGAGCAAAACGCTCTCCTTTTTCGCGATATCTCACTTTCCCGGCACGAAATTCGCACAAATCTCGCGAAGTGACATACAAAAGGAACGACACGCCGCTGTAATCTCCAAGGGCCCGTAACGCCGCACAGGATTTGCTAAAAACACCTGATCCAACGCGTAATGAATTACACGTCGCTGTAGTAAAAATTAAAAGCAATCCTGCTTTTATTCGCCCAACTGTTTCATTTCGTGAAAGCAACAATCCACCCATTAAATTCCTTTGTTGACCGCTTTTCCGGGATTTCGAGAAAGTGCTTATCGATTTTGCATTCCCAGAATAAAGGTGAACGTTCGAATTTACGTTCTTAGTCCACGTACTTTTCTTAGATGGCGCTCCAAACGTTGAATCAATGAATGACATCAACTGCATTTTACGCCATCTCTTATCGAAACATAAAAGGCTTTCATTAATAAATTTTAAGATGTTTGTAAAATTATTTATTAAACAGTTTTCATTATAATTTAATTAATAGAAATGAAAACTCAGTCAAGTAAAAAAAATAATCACTAAGATTACTATAAAAAACGAAACATCTCTAAAAAATATTAAAAAAATTAATATCTTTATGGTTAAAACAAAAAATCAAAATAATTGACATAATTGGACGGAATTGTTAGTAATACCAACGAGATTCTTAATCAATCACTTAAAATTCTACAGATAATAATAAAATGTTTTTTTTTCTTTCATGAGATTCTCGCAGCGATATGAATCCAGGTACATCTGTTATCGTTACTAATTATAAAGTAGACAATAGAAGATCGATGTATATACTATATAAATCTGTATACAAAAAGGGATAGAGAAAAAATATTTTACGCCGCGATTCCTATCGTGTATTTACAGGGAGGGTTTTTGAGGCACTAATTCGAGGCGAATTTATTTCTTAATCAATTCTACGTAAGATCGCGTGTATTATACTACATAAGGCAACAGTTGAGATTGTTGAAAAACCATTAAGTGTCTTTGAACCGCTTCTGTACATTTCTGGATCTCCTGTAAACAGAATCACAAAAAAAATTAATTACACATTTATGTTTTTTATATTAAATCTATTCTAGCAATGATAAAAAATAAATAAATTTTTTTTGCTCGCTTCAATTCAATCAGATTAATAAATAAAAGCATATTTAAGCAAATATTCACTTTTATAGAGTACAAGATAGCGTCTAAGTTAAAACCTACAAGTTATATTTGTCACCAATGCGTAAAACGGTAATCGCACACATGTAACTGTTACAAATTTGCCCTAGAAGAAATAAATCCAACGTCTTAACACATTATTTCTTAAATTTTGAACAAAAAAAAATATAAAAATTAATTATTTACATTTTAATACATACCCATCCGGAATTGCCATTCTGGTGAGCTCATCCTACCATCGCCACCGTTTGAATAAGCCAAAACACGGGTCTTGTAATCCTTTCCAGGTACCAAACCATCAATTATAGCAACTAATTCGCCTCCAATCGGAATAACGGTGTCGTTAGCGGTGCTGATGTCTTGATCGTTTTCCCAAACGCGTACTTTAAAACCTTGTAGTGGTTCTTCATCATTGGCTGGTTGTACATATCGCCATATAACTTTTATTGTGGATGGATTTATCGGGGTGATGTTAACTGAAGATGGTGGTTTTTGTGGTGGTTTTTTATACGTTCGTTCTTTAAACCGTTCGCTTTCCGGTCCTTCCCCAGCGCCGTTATAAACCATAACTTTCACATTGTAATAAGTATTCGGTACAAGACCGACGATTAACGCCCAAGGTCTAGTTGTTCTTGATAGATAATAAACGCTGTCTTGTTCGTTATTGCCATCGCGCCAATATTTTATTCTGTGTCCGATTAATTTTCCGCGAATGCGATCGCGAATTTGTTCAACGGGATTCCAACTAACATTCAAGGCTGTGGAGTTATACGACATTGCTTTAACTAATTGTGGGGCGACAATTGGCATATCTTCAGCTGAATAAATTACTTCTTCATTACTTATTGGCCCCTCGCCTTCTGAGTTAATACTTTGTACTTTAACTATATATTCTGTATAATAATGGTCTGATTTTATATGAATAACAGCTTTACCGATGTTACCTTGTTTTTGTAATGACAAAGTTTGAAACTCAGTTTCATGCAATCTTTGTTTGAAGAAAATTTTGTAATAAATTCCGGGTGCGTTTTGTTGATCATTTCTTAATGGTGTCCAAGTAACCGTTAAATCTCCACGTTTACCTCCACCCCCACCAACGTTAGCTGGAGGTAAATATGGTTTATCAACAGCTGTTGATTTCCTTGGGCTTGGACTACTTGGCACACCCGTTCCTAATTCATTCGATGCGGTCATGCGAAACTCATAAATTGACCATGGTGTTAATGATACTTGAACTAGAGCGCGTTTTCTATTTGGAGGAACCGGTTGGGCGTATATTCCACTCGCTAAATTCACCCAAGTCATGTTCCACTGAGTTCGTCCTGCGACGCTATATTGATAAATTTGTCTTCCGTGAGCCGCGCCGTCAGTCCACAACAAATTAATATGGGTATTATTCACTATTTGCGCTTCAACGCCACCTGGAGGACCCGGCGGGCCTTCTATCTTTACGATCGAACGTGACGATATTTGACCTAACGAAGATGTTACTAAACATTCGTATTCGCCTTCATCGGCAAACGTAGCATTTAAAATTACCAAATGACCACCATCTATTCTCTGGAGAAACAATAAAAATTATTAAAATATCTAATAACTAAGAATAAAAAACTTACAATTTGATTATTCGAATTTTTAACATCAATGTTGCGTATTCTAAGCCCATTATGGTGCCAGATATAAGCTATATCTAGAAGTTCTTCAATGTAAGCTTCACAATAGAGCTCAAAACTGTTGTGTACAAATGTTACAATTCTTGGTGGTAAAGATTGTATCCATCTTGGGCCAACTTTAAACGATATTATTTAGTTTCAAAAATGACTTAAAAAAATATTAACTTACGCAAAACAATTAGTCGTCCCCTAGATTCGTCTAAACCGTTTTCATTTTGAGCCGAACAAGTATAAATACCTTCGTCATTCCTACTAACTGGACCAATAAATAAATTCCCATTTTCCATGATTTTTCTATGACCACCACTTCCGATAATATTACCATCTTTTTTCCAAGTAAATTGCGGTTTAGGTGCCGCTTCAGGTTGACAAACAATGGTAACGTTACCTTGCTCGGCGGCGTAAGTTTCCGGCTCCAAAGGCCGTTTTTTAAACGAAGGCTTAAACGATAAAACTCGAAGTTGAGCGGAAGAATACCTAGCTTTTAACGCGTTTGATGCTCGACACTGATACATTCCCGGATCGCGAAACTCATCAACTTCACGTATCGTAAGGACGTTATCTTGGATTATAATCCTTCCATAATCTTCCGATTCTAAATAACCCTTAATTAATTGCCGCCCATTTTTCCACCAAGTATAATTCACATCCGGAATTCCAAACGCTTCGCATAACCAAACTAATTGACCCAGCTTATCGACATGTTTATCTTGTAATGGGATGCGAAATTCTGGTTCGGCTTGAACGTTTAATTGGACACCTTGTTCTTTTGATGATAAATCATTGTAAATTGTACAAACGTATTCGCCTTGATCTTCAACGGTCACTTTTGGTATTATCATAACGCGATTGTAACTTTGGAAAGTTGTGTTTCTTGGTAAAGGTGCTCCTCTACGCGTCCAATTATAACTTGGAACCGGACTAAAAATTTTTGTTTATTATTTATGTATTTTAATGTTTATTAAGTTTAAATAAGTCGCAAGATAACTTGAAATGTTAATTATCGTCGGGTTAAAGTTCGATATGTTGAGAAAAAAATTGCAGTTCATATCCCACGCCTCGCCCGCAAGCGACCAATGCATCAAATGAACGATATCATTTAAAATTGCCGAGGTCGCTTGTGGGAGAGGCGCTACAACTAATAGACGACTTGCTTTACTCATATCCAGCGCCTCGCCCGCAAGCGACCTCGGCGGAGTGAAAATAAATTAAGGTGTTATATGCTTAGTTCGCTTTCCAGTGCATCAAATGAACGATATCATCTAATATTGCCGAGGTCGCTTGCGGGCGAGGCGCTACAACTAATAGACGACTTGCTTTACTCATATCTAGCGCCTCGCCCGCAAGCGACCTCGGCGGAGTGAGAATAAATTAAGGTGTTATATGCTTAGTTTGCTTTCCAATGCATCAAATGAACGATATCATCTAATATTGCCGAGGTCGCTTGCGGGCGAGGCGCTGCAACTAATAGACGACTCGCTTTACGTTGATGTACTCATATCTAGCGCCTCGCCCGCAAGCGACCTCGGCGGAATAAGAATAAATTAAGGTGTTACATGCTTAATTCGCTTTCCAATGCATCAAATGAACGATATCATCTAATATTGCCGAGGTCGCTTGTGGGCGAGGAGCTACAACTAATAGACGCCTCGCCCGCAAGCGACCTCGGCGGAGTGAGAATAAATTAAGGTGTTATATGCTTAGTTTGCTTTCAAATGCATCAAATGAACGATATCATCTAATATTGCCGAGGTCGCTTGCGGGCGAGGCGCTACAACTAATAGACGACTCGCATTACGTTGATGTACTCATATCTAGCGCCTCGCCCGCAAGCGACCTCGGCGGAGTGAGAATAAATTAAGGTGTTATATGCTTAATTCGCTTTCCAATGCATCAAATGAACGATATTATCTAATATTGCCGAGGTCGCTTGCGGGCGAGGTGCTACAACTAATAGATGACTTGCTTTACTCATATCACGCGCCTCGCCCGCAAGCGACCTCGGCGGAGTGAGAATAAATTAAGGTGTTATATGCTTAATTCGCTTTCCAATGCATCAAATGAACGATATTACTTAATATTGCCGAGGTCGCTTGCGGGCGAGGCGCTACAACTAATAGACGACTTGCTTTACTCATATCTAGCGCCTCGTCCGCAAGCGACCTCGGCGGGGTGAGAATAAATTAAGGTGTTATATGCTCAGTTTGTTTTCCAAGGCATCAAATGAACGATATCATTTACTCTTGCCAAGGTGGCTTGCGGGCAAGGTGCTACAACCGAGTTTATACTTGTTTTACGCTGATGCAGTCTCATATTAAGCGGTTGTGTCGAAAACGGCTGTTTAGAATTCAACGCAGCATTTACCAAAATATGCCAAATAATTGTGTTTGTAAATCCCTTAATCAGTTTTTCAAAGTTGTCTCTTTAATTTTATAGAGCGATTTACGTGAATTATAAATTAAAAAGAAACAGAAATAAAGCAATGTGTTATGTTAATAGTTTATCTTGCGACTCTTAACCCCGCCCTAAATTAACTTACTATCCAAAAGCCATACATTCCATCCGAACTTCTTCGCCAGCTTTAGGAGGATTTGTAAATATTTTAGGAAAAGTGTTGGCAAATTTCAATTGTTCATATGAAGCTACAAATAAAATAAAATAAAAAATCGTTATGGTATTGTTTTGATTAACCTACATTGTGGGTTAACTTTTAATTGAAAGAATGGTCCATTTTTTCCTGTATCTGAATAAAGAGCGTTTACGCTGCATCCATAAACGCCTCGATCGATCGTTTCTAGAGAAGAAAAGTATAATCCGCCGTCGCGCGATACGAAAACGCGCTCATCTTCTTCGACCAAATTTGGGAAGTACTCGCGAGACCATAAATAACGAACTTTGCCGAAAAATTTTGGGGGATCGCATCCCATCACTTTACCCCAATTGTGGTCACCTTGTTCTGCGGCTCTTTTAAGTACGAATTCGTGAATGTATCCGAAATTTAACGCTATACTTTCAGAAATAATTGTACCATATTTATTGGATGCTTTGCAATGATAATTTGCACGATCTAATTTCTAAAAATTAATTTGAATTTTAAATAATATTACTAAATATTAATATTTTTTACCTCTTCAGGTTTCATAATAATTAACATCCCTCCACTTAAAGTGTAACGATCGTCAGTTAAGGGATCAACCTGTTTTGCTGCAAGTCTGTCATTTTCATATTCTTCTTTAAACCATTGATAGGTAGGCGTTGGATAACCACCTGCTAAACAACTATAAAAAAATATTTTAGAATAAAAAAATTATGTCGCTTTATCAAATGAGTCATATTTTCCTTTATAACAGGCAGAAATATTTCATTTGATTCATTAGTGCTGAATTGTTCCACTGTTAACATCGAACAATACAGGTAACACTTCAATTTTTACTTTTCTTACCTTAATACAATTTGATTTAAAACTTGTCGCCTCGACACGTCGAAAATGACATCTTTAGGTTGTTGAATAAAAAACGGCCCTCGCGGGATTTTCTTAGGATCCTTAATTTCAATTCCATAAGTATACGTCCGGTTATCACCCAAAAGTCGTTGCAAGCTGAACAAATTCGCCTCGCAAATAAATTTTAAAGGCTCATCTCCTCGAACGGGAACAAAACCCCAGTGCATTTCGCTCGTCGAAAAATTATAAACCAAATAGTCATCGCCATAATTTTTTCGAACGGGAAAAAATGCATTTTCCATATCAACTAAGGGAGAGTCATCCGCGTTTCGCCACATATCCGGATTTTGTTGGTAAGCCCCAAAGTACCAGCGTCCTCTCAGAGAATCTTGTTTGTTTAATTCGTTTATTATAAAACCATGTTCGTCGTAACTATTTATTGATAAGAGATCCGATTCAGATGAGAAAGCCTAAACAAATTTTAAATCAATTAATCTAAATGTCGTATTTCTTTACCATTTTTTGTACATAATAAGTACTTTAAACTACGTCATTCCTTTATTCTTTGTGAAAATGTTCTCATTTTTGTTTTCGTCGTATTTTTAATTGCCATTTGTTTAAGGTTTTTTTAATCAAAAAATATGGCGGTACTAAGAAAAAAATTCTCAACTAAAAAATAACCCAATATTGTATAAATCCTCAGTGTTACTATTAACATAGAAAACTACAAATTCATCTAATTTTCATACTTTCGTATTTTTCTCAATATTTATGCATCTGAGAGCAAAAGTGAAAAAGAACAATATTATTAAGAATGAAATTTTAAATTTTAAAAGTTTTTTTGTAGCCTCCTCCGAATCCCGAGTGTTTTACCATGAAAAATTAATTAATTTTGATCGTTATAGAAGAAATAATTTCGACCGACGTCTTCGAAGTCGGCTGAGATATTTCTTCCATAAAGTTGTTAATGGTGTGATTCAGGATTAAAAGCAGAGCAGAAGGAATTTCAAATAATCTCAATACTTAGGGCGGCTTTATTATATCGCTCGGGATTCTGAACATATTACAAATAATGCCAAAAAATAATTACAAAAAATTTTGACAAGTAAAATTGCGTTTAAGTAGTTCGCATTGCTTTGACGTATTTAATTTATTTTGTGGTATTTGAACCTATTTTTGGTAGTTTATTGTTTGAGTAAACTCTAAGAGACAAAAACTTCAAACTAATAATGTGGTTTCCCCACTACATAGTTAATGAGGTTCTATTTCTGTACAAGTAATATTGTTGAAAATACTCGTAGTACCTGGTTTTGATACCACATGTCATGTTTTAAATTGCTTCTATTCCAGATAATTCCAGAAATACGTATTGAAGTAAAATTAGTCGCTTTTGAGAACTTTTAAAGGTTCTATTTTGTGGAGAAATCTTATTATGTTACTTTTGATGTTGATTTCAACGCTTTAAATGATGATATACGGGTGTATGAGTTATGAGTATGTTTTCACTAAGCGATTTGATAGTTTATTATCAAGTTTATGATCTTGGTTAGTTCTTAGGACAAGTAGAGGAGCTTCAAATGACCCTTAATTTCTCTACTGAAGGGTTGTTTGGGTCTTACAACAAGTAGAAGAGCCTCTTAATGACTCTAAAGGATTGATTGTATCCATTTATGATTTACTTCCAATGGAAAAGGTGTTTGTAAGGAAAATAGGCTGAGATTACTGCTTCTGTTATGACTTATTTATGATTTTTATTAATTAGACTTTACTTATATGTATAATTTTTTACTTACACGACAAATATGTCTAGATTCATTATATCCCCTTAAAGGTGATTTAATAAACCTATAACATGATTGTTGATATTGTATCCAATGATCAGGACATCGTAAAGTATCGTAATAATAAAAATCTCCAAGATTGGGTGGTCCATAAGATCCTTGGGCCCCAATAAAATCGACGAAATGGACGAAAACAAACGTAAACAATATCAATATCCACATTCTAACCTAAAAATGAAATCACAACCTGTTAGATTGACTTTTAAACAAATAATAGCCGTTTTTAAACGGGTATATTGAATTTATAGCGTGTTTTCAAGCGTTAGTCATACTTTATAGCGAAATTGATGAATATATAGGGAGTGGCATACTAAATAATGTAATTAAGATTCATTATGAAACGAGGTGATTTAATTATTCTTAAAGAATAACATTTTTAAAAAATAGATTAATTTGGGGCAATACTTACGTGTTTACATGAAAATAAAAGGGTTTTTTAAAGAACAATGACAGTTATGAGGTCTTCTTCTGGCGAGCTTAAGCATCGTGGTGGGGGTTAAAAAAGTTAAAACTTAAAACGCAAAAATAATTTATTATTTTAATCGCAATTTTTGTTTTAAATTTAAATTATTTTAGTTCTTTTAAATTTAATACGGGTTAAAACAATAAATAATTAAATTATTTTGAGTCATTTTTATTTAAATTTTCCCGCCATTTCATATCTCATCAAAATTTATTATTAAAACAAATTTAAATAATAAAAACCTATATTGAATTACATTTAACAAATTATAAATTAAAAATTTTATCTCGAAAAAATTAAAAGTATCTAATTTGACTTCGTTTCATAAGGGCGATATTCGTTAACCCCCACAATCAACGCATGCGTTGTAATAGCATCCATTTTGGTAACCTCCCTTTTCGAAGGAAGTTCGTAAATATCAAAAAGCACCGTGGTAAGCACTTATTTATTATATTTTTACTTAATTATCAATTTTTTTATTGATTACGTTTCAAATTAAAGCTGGATGATGAAATATTTAACAAAAAATAACGTTATAAAGGTGTAATTAATCATAAAAAAGACCACAATGTTTAATGTACTATAATTTATTTATTTTGGGTAAATTTTGGTATACATACATCTATACTAAACGAATGATATTGTTTATAAAGGTTTTCAATACTGAAAATAAAAAAGAAAAAAAAAGTAACCCACAAAAAGTAAATTAAACCACTTTGCTATAAAAATATATATGTATGTATGCTTAAAATAACTTTTTTACTGTAGCATTGAAAAATTTGTAAGTTCAGATAGTTCTCGATGAAACATCATTTGTTGTTTAATTAATTTGTTAGCTTCTTCTTCGCATTCTCGAGGCAATAAACGGTTATTTTGTTTATCGAATCCCTCTTCATCGTCTGTTGCAGAGACGTGTTTTTGTTTCGCGGTTAAAAGGGTGTTGTACATAGCCATAACCTTATTATCTACTTTACTGAGCGCCATTTTTATCTCTTGTTTTCTCAAATCTTTCGCAACCATCGTACGAACCTTTTCTAACTCTTTTATATTGTGCTCATTTACAACTGCTAATTCTTGCTGACACTTTTTTATTTCCAATAGTATATCATCTTCGGGTGGAAACGTCTTTGGTAAATCATCTACATCTAATATTCCTTGTTCCATAAGTTCTTTACGTAATCTTCTATCCAAACACATACCACCTCTCGGTCCATTATTATTTTTTAATGTAAAATCGGATGCTAAAACAAAAAATTAAGTATGAATATTTTTGCAGATTTAAGACGAAGATGGGGGATGAAAAGAAAGAGAATGCGGAAAAGCAAAAATCCGTTTTAAATCCGGAAGCTCCAGCTTTCGTGATGAGAACAAAACCAATAAAACATACGTTACCATACACTTGGACTTTTTGGTATTACAAAAGAGTCCCGGGTATTAACTATCGCGATAATCTCCACCAAGTTGTCTCGTTCGATACGCTCGAGGATTTTTGGTTGTTGTATCACCACCTTTCTTTGGTGAGCGATTTAAGAAATATGGATTATCTCATATTTAAATTGGGTGTAACACCGGTTTGGGAAGATGTTAATAATCAGCGTGGAGGTCGCTGGGAGGTCCACATCCCTTCAGCACTCCGCAATGAGGTCTTAACCACTGTTTGGGTACAATCGGTTTTGTACTCTATTACTGATTGGTCTCATTTCAGTCAGCAACTGTGTGGAGTTGTTGCTACAGTGCGTTATAGATACGATCGCATAGGTAAGACTTTTTTTAAGTTAAAAATTAAACTTATTTTCTGTTTTTATAGGAATCTGGACCTCTGATGCAAATGACAGATACATAACAAACGCAATTGCTGAGGAATACCAAAACATTCTTGATGCAAACAACTGTGGTATTTTACAATATCAACCGCATAAAGTTTTAAGCCGAAGAGCAAGAAAATCTGCAAGAAACAAATAATTTTCGAAAAAACTCACCTTTTAGTTTACTTATAGAGTTAGGATATGATTTCAAAACTTTTTCTTCTAAAAGTCCGGCCAGTAAACGTTGCGTAAGTGGACTTGAAAATGTATCAACCATACTATAATAAACATATATTATAACCAGAATAAAACCATAAGTTCAAACAAAAAACATACGCATTTAATCCACTTTTTTTCAAATCATTCGAAAAATTAATACTTTTAGTTTTGGTGGGTTTCCCTAAAGTAGAAAGATTCTGTTCTTGATTTAAAGTACTTTCGGCCCATTCCATCGCGTAGTGTTCCCCAATCTCCGGAATCTTTACGTTTATATCTTGAGAACATTCTTGAATTAAATCATCCAAAAACTATCACAAAAAAAATTAATATAATATATATAATTTCTTTTTTTTTTTCACAAAGTTCGCGAAATTCGGCGTAAATTTCTGACCACCTGTATAATTTTTTAAAAAACTTTTCAAAGGGTATGGGTCTTCTCTGTGCCAACCCAAAGAATATTTAGCTAGACTCGAGTGTAATTTTTATTTTTATTGTTAAGCCAAAATTTTCGAAAAAACAAATAATTCAAAAATGGTGCACTGTAGACATATTAGAAATTTCGAAAATGCAATAAAAATTGGTACATTCCATTTAAAATAATCAAAATCATCATGTCATTAGACGTTTCTGGGGTTAATAATAATAATAAACAATATTTATTGGTTCACATAAATAATAATAATAGCAAATACATTGGAAATAAACAAATTAAATTCAAAACAATGAACCAAAGAGAATGGAGTCAGTTTGGCTAGCATTGTTTTTCGCTGTTCAATGCGTTCTCTTTGACTAAAATATTTTCAGATTTCTAGCACTTCCGGTTATACCGGAAGTCGCAATCTACTTTATTTTTTTAAATGGAACACCCTATATATTTTTACAAGTTTGGATTTGACTGTCAAAGAAGATCTGGGAATCATACTAGGAACTTTGTCGCGCTTTTCATGTATAAAAGATAAATTAAGAATTTCTTGATTTGTGTAAATATTATTTTCGTTATTATTATCGATTTTAATTCTTTTTTGTACTAATATTAAGGGACCTAACAGATAATTATTAGCTCACATGCATCAAGTGACGTAAACTTTTACAAGAATTCATTGAGAAGGCTTGTTTTCCATGGCACACTAGGCCAAATATTCATATATAATTGTGCATTTTTCAAAAAACTGTAATTATCTCCCAAACTATTAATGTTAGGTATGGGACATATCGAATATAAAAGATGTAGAATGGAACACCGAAGACGACTAAACAATAAAATATGGGGGTTGCCATTTAAAAAAATTAAGTTATGGTACTTCCAAATTTCGAAAAGTTAACGCGCCATAGTAAATTGACCAAACGTTCTAGACAGCCGTTCTTGGCACCAAAACATACTCCATCATGTTGCTTAAGCATCTCTGATTTTTTGAACAAATGTCTGTTGGAGCAGATTTTTCTAGAAAAATTCGAATAACTCGAGAATGGAAGAATCAAATTGCAAAAAGTAAAGTTGTTTATAAACGTTGAAAGCAGACAAATCCAAATATGTAAAAATATACAGGATGTTCCATATAAAAAATAAAGTCGGTGGCGACTTCCGGAATAACCCAAAATGCTAGAAATCTGAAAATATTTTAGTCAAAGAGAACGTAATTGATAATACTTAAGTCTGAATTCTCAAATTTTTATTTTGGCCAGGATCCCAGAAACGTCTCTCGCTGAGACAGCCTGTATAAATTTCATTTTTTTCAAGTTTCTATGAAAAGTATACATTTCAAATAAATAATAAGGAAAAAATGATGGTGAAGGAAAAAATTGGGGTTGCCATTTAAAAAATGAAGTTTTCGGGAAATTCGGCGCAAATTTCTAATTCAATAAAAATTGTTACATTCTATTTAAAATAACGAAGTTGGAGAAAACTGAAAATATCTTAGCTGAAATGAGATAAATTTGTACTATAATGTAAATTTGTAGTATAAGTAATAATTTGAGAATGGTAAATTAAATATAATAAATAGTTACATTAACATCATCCTTGGTAACATCAGCACAATATGGTTCAATAGAAGACCAAAATTTATCAGAAGTATCATTTCTTGGTAAAATAACTTTTGGAACTTCATGTTTTGTTGAATGTTCACCCATAAATCCATTAATGGGTGGGTTGTATTGTTTTGTTTTGAACAATCTGGACCCATTCTTTGTGTCTTTGTACTTTAACTTTTCATCAGGCCTTTTTCGTTTTAACGACGACTAGAAAAGATAATAATTTAGAATTTCTTCTTGATAGAAAATTAATAATTTGATTAACAATAAAGAATTCACCATAAAAACTGTCGTAATTGCTTTTATATATATTATTAAATCAATTAAATCACGACTAAGTGTAGCTGAGTAACAAAAAAATTCTCCTTTGATGAATTTTTTACTTATCAAGGAGAATTTCGCATATTTCTGTAATTACTAATCTTTGGATAAGATTTTTTTTGAAATTACTTTTTCTATTGGTTTCCCTTTCTTTTCAACTTTATCCATTGATTCAACTTCGCTCCTCAACAACCGATTTCTAACTGCACTGGTGGATAAGAGCTTCTCAAAGTCTTGTTGAAGTTGATCCAAATCATCCATACTAACTCCATCGTCAACCGGTCTGGATAAAACTAGAACATTTAAAGGTGATTACCAAAACAATCGCGTTACAAGTCATGAATTGACTTACTTCCCGTGTACCTAGGAAGAATTTTAGCGTTATCAGACTGTTTAATAACAGGGAACGATATAGGTCCATCTGAGTCAGAGGTGAATGAATCAGCAGCTCTTTGACGTGAAGTTGATTGTTTAGCCACATCTTTTCCTTTACTACTATAGCGATTTATATTACTTTTTGTTTGGTTGTTGGATCTTTTCACTGGAATCATATCAAAGATCTAAAAAAATATGACAGATAGTTGACATAACCTCAATAACCGATTTTTTAATAATTATTTACTTAATTACAACCAACTGGACGTGTTAAATTAGCTAATTAAAACGATAATTTATCTTATTGACAAGTTTTTTAATAATTTATTCTCTTTATATTTACGTTCGTTATTTTGTAAACAATTTCCTACTTCCGTTCCCCACCTCGGGTGATCCCTAAAAACCCTACAAGGCTACCATTTTTATTAAAACTCAATTTGCTCTTTTTAAAATACAATTTTATTCAAATCATTCTTTTACAACTCGAAATTAACAAAAAATACGAAATAAATAATAACCTAAAATAAATAATCTCAAAAATTTTATGAATTATCGTTAGTTAAAGTTGGCAACCCTTGTATTAGACATAACCTAAAACGCTTCCGATTAACCTTAAAAAAACCCAAAATAAATGTAAGTAATGTTTTAAACGTGCTAAATTATTATTAATTTTTTTTTCTGAAGGGCTTTAACTAAACCTAAATCGGAAATGACGGCGGAAGAGCTCCAGGCGCGCGAAGAAGAAGAATTCAACACCGGCCCTCTTTCAGTGTTAACAATGTCTGTTCGTAACAACACTCAAGTGCTTATTAATTGCAGAAACAACAAAAAATTGTTAGGAAGAGTTAAAGCTTTCGACAGACATTGTAATATGGTACTGGAAAATGTTAAAGAAATGTGGACAGAACAGCCTCGACCTGGCAAAGGAAAGAAAAAGTCTAAACCAGTTAACAAAGATCGTTTTATATCCAAGATGTTCTTAAGGGGCGATTCAGTTATATTAGTGGTTAGAAACCCACTTGCTGCGTCTAATAAGTAATTTTTGTAACTTTTTTCATCTATTCTCTTTAGATAACATTATTAATTTGGGTAAAAATTAATTATTAATACATACAATTCTTAAAATATATCAAGTTTATTTAATTTAAGATAACTAATACCATTAGAAGACAACCTATATCCTAATTCCTTTTAAACTTGATGAAAAATATGTGGATTTATATTTCTCATCATCTTGAGAAAAGTACTTGAAGTAAGAAACAATCTAAAATAACCAAATGTAACTTAAATTTTTGACTTTGTTTGGATTGATATGATATGGAACAATTATTACCTATACCATACACTACCACATATAAAACTTCATAGAATCAAGAGCTTAAACAAAATTTTGCCATAAAAATAACCGATTTTTTTTATTGTAGCCTCCCATTTATGTTGAAATCGTATAAAATTTGGCACATCTCCATAATTTAGCAAAAGAAACATCTTTTTTTAATTACATATTTTATTGTACATCAATCAGAAAGACCACTTTACCTGCAATGATTTATTTTTTGCTTTAATTTTGTTACTTTGAGGATATTTAATACAAAATTAATTTCTAAAAGGAAAGATTGAAAGGAAATTTAGGAAGAGCCTTTATGTTACACAAAATTTAGCGAAATATCTAAATATTTTTTCGGACTTTATGAAACGTCTTTTACTAATTCGCAAACATATAATGTCTCTACGAGATCAATGCTATGACGAAGCTGCAAATGCAAGTGGTGCGCTCACAAATTGTTAATGAAAAGGATATCAAAATTAATATTGACAAATCAGTTTTGCAAAGAAAGAGAAAAAATCCTCTTAAATTCGGCGGATCAAAAAATTAAGTCATAGATTCATGAATTCCGATGGAATAAAACGAGCCAAAGATATTAAATCGTTTTTGTTGAAAATACTGGAGTGATTGAGGAGCACTATTTTGACATAAAACGATTATATTTACATAAAAACATGTTTTTTGATTGTAATAAGGGGCTGGAATTTCATTTAGTATCGGAAATAGCTTCATATTTTAATGAAAATGAACATTTAAAAGATTTAATTGCACACGTATTTTCAAAAATCGGCGCCTATTGTTGAACTCGTATAAAATTTGCAAAAGAAACATCTTTTTTTAATAAATTTTTGATGTACGTCGGCCAAAAAGACCACTTTACCTGCAATGATTTATATTTTTATTGCTTTGTTAATTCATTAAGAATATTATAAGTTTATTATTTCAGTTTATGAATAACCGATATCGATATCTCCTGACATCTGGTGGTTACATCAACGAACTAAAATTAGTTTACCTACTATTTTTTCATCCAAAGAGTTATAAAACTCAATTTGTATTTAAATTTTTGTATTAATAACAACACAAAATAACATTGGTAATATTATTATTACTTATTCTTTAATATTATTACTATATAATTATTTTTTTAGGTTATGGCAATACAAAATCAAGAAATCAAATTAAAATGATTAAAAATTAAATTGCAAGTGTGAGTTTAATTTACCACAATGTTGAGTAACGATAAACATCTCCACAACACAAGAATTGATAAAACATTGCTCAACCATATTAAATTGGGGTGTAATAACCTTTATATAAAACATTTAATTGCATACATTAGTGGAAAAGATGAAGTAATACCATATAGTAACAGTGACCTTGAACGATATTGTGCTTCAGTTCCCAACAATCTATTAGAACAGTTCAAATTACACAAAGAAGTTAACTTTGATTTAAATACCATGTATTTGGTGGTTCTTATTACACATGTTTTGAAAAATGATACTCGAAATGATAATATATTAGCAGCCGGGGAATTCTTTATGAGTGAATTACTTCAAGTTAAAGAAGAGATTCCACAAAAAACGTTCGATACATTACTTGTGAAAATATTAGTTAGATTAAGTGAAGAATATAGAATTTCTAAAGACACCTTGATGCGTGTCTGTGCGTTCATAAATTTTGTAGAGTATGATTTGAGTGAATGTATCGAAGAAATACTTATGTTTTTACAAAGTATCATTGGAAAAAGCAAAGATATTATTGTTATTGACTTAGAAAATGGATTAAGAAATGACACAAACGAAGCTAATATAGCATTCAACACATTACATAATTTATTTCAAAAATTTGATTCTCAAGAAATAATTATTTCAAACATGTTTCAATGCGCCTTAATTGTATTTTGTAAAAATGAGTCTGCTTTAAACGCAAAAGAAAACTTCTTGAAATTTTTTAAACACTTTTTATATCATTTTCATACATACTCTTGGTTTAAAAAGAGGTTTTTTAGAGCGCTGATTACTATTAAGGATCCAATGGTAACAACACTTATTTAATGATTGGCTAAAAATGGTAACTTGATTCTTTTAGATAACCGTCAAATTGTTAAAGCTTTGCGAAAAAGACGTTTATAACTCCCTAATTGGAGGTTTGATTAATTACTACATTACCGGTCCTTCTAAATACCGCCCGTATCTACAAGCAACAATGAGTTTGATTATAAGTAATCCTTACAAAAAGGATGCTTACAATGATCCGTGTCGACAAGCGATTGTCAATAGAATCGTCCATGAAATATCTTTAAGGTTGGGAAATTCTGATGTCAGTGAAAAAGAAGATATTATGAGTACCTTCATTCAATGGTACGAATCGAAGGATATCAATCTAAGGAGAACACTGCAAGTAAGAACATTTTTTGAGCAAAATTCATCGAAATTTTTTTAAATTTTTATAGCAAATGTACAATGATAATGAAGAAACCACCAAGAAAATATCAGCAAAAAAATTAATATCCATTCTAGAACCCGTGGTAGATATATATTGGCAAAATGAAAGATTCAACATCTTATTTATAAAATTAATCCTCTCTATTTTCCATTCGAAACCGCAATACACCTTTAATCGATCCGTCAGAATGATTGAAAGATTATGTTTGACTGCAATGGCTTGGCAAGTTGAAGATTGCCTTCCTTATTTCACGAAGGTTATCATAAAATGCGTCGACAACAACGTTCCAATATTAAAACCTTTATTAGCGATTTTAGTAAATTTTGCTTTAATACAAACAGAAACTGCAAAAAAATTTTTATTTGAAATTCACGACTTGATTAAAAACGCCTTCGTTAAAAACGAAGACGCTGATGTTGAATTTGCGGTGATATCCGTGTTAATTTCGCCGGATATGAGAGGGAAAGAAATATTTTCGGCTATGGAGTTGTATTTTCCTATTACCCAATCCGATTTGAAGATAATATTTGAAGAACGTACGCTTAAATACGGCGCGGCAGCTTGGCCGTTTTTGTGTATGTTGCTTGATAAACACGAAGTAGATGCTTTCCCCATACACTTTAAACAGTTTATATTAGAAATTGATGACGTAAGTAAAAAAAAATGATTTTTCTTTCAAAAATAAAATTTTTTTAGATGAGTTTTTATTTAAAACCTGAAGCTATTTATATAATTCAAACGATTCATAAAGTGTTTATGTCAAAAATGAAAAAGAACATTTCATCTGAAGATAAATCTCTAGCAGTACAAATTTTCACAACGTTTTCAAATCATGTCATGAAATGCATCGTCCCTTCGAAATTAGCGAACGACGTTTCGGCGTTATTGGCGTCTTTATGCGATGTGTTTGATACTAAATGCCCGGTATTAACACAATGGATCAAATCTTGCTACGATGAAGTCATGCACAATTTGGATCAAGAAAATATTCCTATTATCACCCGAAAAATCGCTTATTTAGCACACTTTTTAATCCCGTTTAAGTTGGAAATTCCCGAAATTGATGCGGAGAAAATCAAAACAATCTTGAAGTTTCCCTCCGACATAAACAATTTCGTTTTGGCCAAGTTAATATTGTTTTATGGCAGATATTGTTTGAAGTGTAACTATGAAATTGGGACATTTTTGGTGATTATAGAAGATTTTTTGATGCATGATGACCCCGAAATTCAAATAGTTACCTTGGCGACTTTTTATGATATATCAAAATTGTGCGTTAATAAAAAAATAAATTAAATTAATATTAATTTTTTATGTTATTTAGGCGCTTAGAAGATTTTAGTTCGCTTAGTTCAAAACTTATGAAGTTAATAACATCGAAAAATGTGGCAGTACAAGATGCAACGTTGAAATTATTCATGGAACTTCTCACGTCAAATCGTATTCGGTTAAACAATGAAGAAGCGATAATATTTTTGTTGGCTCTTGTTGAAAAAAATCTCAACGTAGATATTTTTTTAAAAGACTCCGTTGAAAAAGAACTTCTAACTAAAAGTGAAGGGATGATTAAGCGTTGTTTCATTCATCTCATATTTTACTTAAACAACTTTCGCGATAACAAATACGAAGTTAATCTACGTTTAGAAACGACGTATTCTTATGAAAAGCGCAGTTTGATTTATCGCTATCTTTTCGGCAGCTTGCAACGTCAAGATCAACTTAATATTTTATTTAATTTAGCCAGAGATTTCAACGTGGACAAGTCATTTGAAGTTTTACGCGACATCGTCACGTTGGCATCATATTTCGGAATGGAAAATTCGAAAAAAGTCTTGGAAACCAAAGAATTTTATGAAACATATAGGGAAAAATTGGAAGATCTTACAAAAATAAAGTGCCAAAATGATCCAATTCAAATCGAATTCAATTTGCACATAGCCACGGTACTTCAATTCCTTTTAAAAGCACTTTTAAAAATCGAAAAAGCAAACAAAGAAATGTTACCGGAAATCTACAACGCAATAGCTTTATTAACCATCGCTTATTATAAAAACGTTACTACCATAGTTAACGAAAATTTTAAAATGAGGAATTTATTTTGCGTTTATAACAGTTTGTTTGATAAATATCAAGATGTTATTTTAAATGAATTAATTAGTAGTAAAATAATGGTTGATCGAAGAGATTGGGATCATTATATACAGTGAGTTTATTTTTATTTGAATTAGTAAGATTAATATTTTTTTTATTTTTTAGGTTAGATTTATGACGAAGTGATTTAGTTATTATTGAATTATTTTTTTAAAACCAAAATGGAAAAGGACATCGCATTATTGATTAAATTTTTATATGTAACAATCAAATAAGATTAATTAAAATATATTAAGAAAATAAATGTTTTTTTCCATATAATTGAACTTTCTTTTCAAAAGCTGTTGACTTAATAGGAGTATTTTCTTCATAAAACGGGTTCATGGAGTGTTTAATATACGGCTCGTACATTTCGTTATAGATTTTTTGATGCCATAATACAAAGCCATACATTCTGCATTTTAAGTATAAGAATCGTTATGAAATTATCCTAATTATTCGTATTATCACCCGAAAAATCGCTTTAGCTCACTTTTTAATCCCGTTTAAGTTGGAAATTCCTGAAATTGATGCGGAGAAAATCAAAACAATCTTGAAGTTTCCCTCGGACATAAACAACTTTGTTTTGGCCAAATTAATATTGTTTTATGGCAGATATTGTTTGAAGTGTAAGATTTTTTGATGCACTTCGACTTACCTTGACGATTAATATTAATTCTTTATGTTATTTAGGCGCTTAGAAGATTTTTACGTGGGCAAGTCATTTGTAGTTTTACATCGTCAGGTTGGCATCATATTTCGGAGTGGAAAGTTCGAAAAAAGTCTTGGAAACCAAAGAATTTTATGAAGCATATAGGGAGAAATTGGAAGATCTTACAAAAATAAAGTGCTAAAATGATCCAANCTTACAAAAATAAAGTGCCAAAATGATCCAATTCAAATCGAATTCAATTTGTACATAGCCACGGTACTTCATTACTTAATTTTTGCATTTCCCTGTGAACAGTATAAAAATGAAATGTAAGATTATTTTCCTAATTATTGTTTGTATTAAAATATTTTTCAAATAAAACTTGTTAAGAATTAAACAAGGAACAACTTTTGTAGGCACCATTTTTTAAAATTATCAATTTTTGCATTTCCTTGTGAACAGTATAAGAATGAAATTTAAGATTATCTTCCTAATTATTGTTTGTATCAAAATATTTTTCAAATAAAACTTGTTAATAATTAATCAAGGAACGCCTTTTGTGGGCACCATTTTTTAAAATTATCAATTTTTGCATTTCCCTGTGAACAGTATAAAAATGAAATGTAAGATTATCTTCCTAATTATTGTTTGTATTAAAATATTTTTCAAATAAAACTTGTTAAGAATTAAACAAGGAACAACTTTTGTAGGCACAATTTTTTAAAATTATCAATTTTTGCATTTCCCTGTGAACAGTATAAAAATGAAATTTAAGATTATCTTCCTAATTATTGTTTATATCAAAATATTTTTCAAATAAAATTTGTTAAGAATTAAACAAGGAACAACTTTTGTAGGCACAATTTTTTAAAATTATCAATTTTTTAATTTCCCTGTGAATAGTATAGAAATGAAAATTTAAGATTATCGTCTCAATTATTGTTTGTATATTTTGATAGTAGTAGATAAAAGCCGATTCTAGAACCTCCTCTCAGAACCTCAGGTCAAGGTCAAGGCCAAGGTCACGTTGAGTGACCTTGACCTTGACCTTGCCCTGAGGTTCTGGGAGGAGGTTCCAGAATCGGCTATTGCAAAGGGGGTCGTTGACCAGTAACCTAGACCTAAACAATGACCTTTACTTTGAGCTCACCTCAGGTCAAGATCACGTTTAGTGACCATGACNAAGGTCAAGGTCACTCAACGTGACCTTGGCCTTGACCTTGACCTGAGGTTCTGAGAGGAGGTTCTAGAATCGGCTTTTATCTACTACTTTTGATAATTGTTAAGAATTAAACAAAGAACAACTTTTGTAGGCACCATTTTTTAATATTATCAATTTTTGCATATCCCTGTAATCAGTATAAAAATGAAATTTAAGATTATCTTCTTAATTATTGTTTGTATCAAAATATTTTTCAAATAAAACTTGTTAATAATTAATCAAGGAACGCCTTTTGTAGGCACCATTTTTTAAAATTATCAATTTTTTAATTTCCCTGTGAATAGTATAGAAATGAAAATTTAAGATTATCGTCTCAATTATTGTTTGTATCAAAATATTTTTCAAATAAAACTTGTTAATAATTAATCAAGGAACGCCTTTTGCAGGCACTATTTTTTAAAATTATCAATTTTTGCATTTCCCTGTGAACAGTATAAAAATGAAATTGAAGATTATCTTAATAATTATTGTTTGTATTAAAATATTTTTCAAATAAAACTTGTTAAAAATTAAACAAGGAACAACTTTTGTAGGCACAATTTTTTAAAATTATCAATTTTTGCATTTTCCTGTGAACAGTATAAAAATGAAATTTAAGATTATCTTCCTAATTGTTGTTTGTATCAAAATATTTTTCAAATAAAACTTGTTAAGAATTAAACAAGGAACAACTTTTGTAGGCACCATTTTTTAAAATTATCAATTTTTGCATTTCCCTGTGAACAGTATAAAAATGAAATTTAAGATTATCTTCCTAATTATTGTTTGTATCAAAATATTTTTCAAATAAAACTTGTTAAGAATTAAACAAGGAACAACTTTTGTAGGCACCATTTTTTAAAATTATCAATTTTTGCATTTCCCTGTGATCAGTATAAAAATGAAATTTAAGATTATCTTCCTAATTATTATTTGTATCAAAATATTTTTCAAATAAAACTTGTTAATAATTAAACAAGGAACGCCTTTTGTAGGCACCATTTTTTAAAATTATCAATTTTATATATATAGTACAGAAACTGAATAATTTTTTTAAAACCAAAATGGAAAAGAACATCACATTATTGATTAAATTTTTATATGTAACAATCGAAATTTACAATTTAAGATTAATTCAAATATATTAAGCATATAAATATTTTTTTCCATACAATTGAACTTTCTTTTCAAAAGCTGTTGACTTAATAGGAGTATTTTCTTCATAAAAGGGGTTCATGGAGTGTTTAATATACGCCTCATACATTTCATTAAAGAAATTTTTGATGCCATCCTCATTTCGGTTATCATGAACCATAACGAATCTTATCAACCCGGCTGTAACGAAAGCAGAGACAAACCATTGATTAAATTTGTCCACAGATTTTAAATACATGTTGTGGGTTTTCCATTTGTGTTCGTCGATTAGATCGAGGGCGGAGTGGGCTATAAATTGGTTTAAATGGCCGTAATCTTCTTTCTAGAAAATTAGAAATTGTTAGGTTGATTTTATTTGTAATTCGGGTCTATTTGCCTTGGGTTCTTTTATGTTGGTGAATTCTACTTCGAAAATTGGATTGTCGTTGTGTCCAACAATAACGAAATAATAACTACCTGACATTTTTTGGAGTTTTTTTGACATTTGGATTTTAATTTATAACATTTTGACGTCGATTAATTTAAAGGTTATGTTTATGTCGATTTCTTGTAATAACACCAAGAGATGGCGTTGATACCAAATTATGTAATTAAGTTAATTTATAAAAGATGGCGCTGTTACAGAAAATTTTTTATCCTCAAGAAGGACGTTTTATTGGATTTAAGATGGAGTTGCGCTTTTTGATATGAATTTAATGAGAAAATTTGAGAAAATTTCCTTGTGAAAAAAAATCTAATTCTATTTTTAGACCAAGAAAAGATTTTGTCATCCCGTTACGCGTTTAGAAGCGTTTAATTCAAGTACACAGAAAGAGATAATATCGTTTGTATCCGTGTATTATGCCGGGAAAAACCAAACTTCTCCAATTTTTTTTAACTCCTCGATTCCTTTCCTTTCGCAAAACAGTTAATTAAGCCCGAGCCGGCGGTGGTACGAAATCGAAATGGGAGTTGGGATACACGTAGTTATCGTCCAGTTTTGCATAACCGCTGGCGGTTAGAGCAGGTCGGGAGGACGTGGTTTAATTCGATAGCCGGAATGCGAATGACGATGGTTTTCTGTGTAAGAGGACCTCGTCGGGTGAATCACAGCATTCACGGCCCGGACCGACCGTAATGATCAGATTATAAATCCGGATGTGAGGCAACGTAAAGAACCCGGTGTATCCGGAACCGTCGTCCACCTGTTTATAGAGCAGCAGCCTTTAAGAGCCTTAGGCGCGTTCGTCGACGCACCGTCTGAACCTGCTCGGGAAAACCGAGTAATGGCAATAATTATAGGAACTGATTTATAATTTGTACAAAAACCATAAAACTAAGAATGCGGAACCGTTCATAAAACGACCGATACAGAACCACAGAGAGACTGAGATTTTACTTTCTTGGTTCAATGGTTTCCTATAAATAATTATCTCTTATTTGTTCTTTTTTATTATGAGTCAACGCCACTTTTACTATTATAATCACCTTGATTTCACTTATTTCTCCTTACATATTAAATATATAGATAACAAAATACAACAATACATTAAGCATACTTCTTTTGAACAACAAAAACATTCTTTTTAGTTACTTGAACAGGATGTTTTACAACGCTTTCTAAAATGTCTTCATCGGCCAAGAATCTTATTATTTACACATCATTTTCAACCTTAACATCATCAATAATGTTGATGTTTACTTCTTTACCGTTGTATGAACTCCAATAATAAGGGGGTTTACAAATTTAGTTCCAAATGTATGATTTACAATTAATGATTACAATTAAGATCGAATCAACCCAAACCCCAACAACATATTAATGAGGATGGCATCAAAAATTTCTTTAATGAAATGTACGAGGCGTATATTAAATGAACCCCTTTTATGAAGAAAATACTCTTATTAAGTCAACAGCTTTTGAAAAGAAAGTTCAGTTGTATGGAAAAAAATTATATATATGCTTAATATATTTTAATTAATCTTAAATTGTAAATTTCGATTGTTACATATAAAAATTTAATCAATAATGCGATTTCATTTTGGTTTTAAAAAAATAATTCTGTTTCTATACTGTTCACAGGGAAATGCAAAAATTGATAATTTTAAAAAATGGTGCCTACAAAAGTTGTTCCTTGTTTAATTCTTGACAAGTTTTATTTAAAAAATATTTTGATACAAATAATAATTAAGAAGATAACCTTAAATTTCATTTTTATACTCATCGCAGGGAAATGCAAAAATTGATAATTTTAAAAAATGGTGCCCACAAAAGTTGTTCCTTGTGTAATTCTTAACAAGTTTTATTTGAAAAATATTTTGATACAAACAATAATTAGGAAGATAATCTTAAATTTCATTTTTATACTGTTCACAGGGAAATGCAAAAATTGATAATTTTAAAAAATGGTGCCTACAAAAGTTGTTCCTTGTTTAATTCTTAACAAGTTTTATTTGAAAAATATTTTGATACAAACAATAATTAAGAAGATAATCTTAAATTTCATTTTTATACTATTCAGAGGGAAATGCAAAAATTAATAATTTTAAAAAATGGTGCTTACAAAAGTTGTTCCTTGTTTAATTCTTAACAAGTTTTATTTGAAAAATATTTTAATACAAACAATAATTAGGAAAATAATCTTAAATTTCATTTTTATACTGTTCACAAGGAAATGCAAAAATTGATAATTTTAAAAATGGTGCCTACAAAAGTTGTTCCTTGTTTAATTCTTAACAAGTTTTATTTGAAAAATATTTTGATACAACCAATAATTAAGAAGATAATCTTAAATTTCATTTTTATACTATTCAGAGGGAAATGCAAAAATTGATAATATTAAAAAATGGTGCCTACAAAAGTTGTTCCTTGTTTAATTCTTAACAAGTTTTATTTGAAAAATATTTTGATACAAACAAATTAAGAAGATAATCTTAAATTTCATTTTTATACTATTCAGAGGGAAATGCAAAAATTGATAATATTAAAAAATGGTGCCTACAAAAGTTGTTCTTTGTTTAATTCTTAACAAGTTTTATTTGAAAAATATTTTGATACAAACAATAATGATCTTACTTTTCATTTTTACACCGCAAGCAACTCGACTAAACCTAAAATAAGGAATATACCGGGTGAGGCATTTATTACTCATAAAAAAAATCAATTTTATCAAAAAAAGTTTGATATAAAACTTTCATCATGTGAAGGAGGAAAATGTTTTGTATGGTTTTCGTTGCATTTTAGAAGTGTCTTTGAATTGTTAATTAATTTTTTTTAATAACTATGGTACTCTCCATGATAAAATAAATAACATTTATTTAAAAAAATTTTTTATTTAATGAACATTACGCACTACAAAAATTCAAGATGCAACACAATTAACATCAAGTAGGTTGGAAATATTAAGGCGACCATAACAGGTGGCAGTTGTTTTAGTACCCGTATCTATTACAGCATCCCTTAGCTACAAATTCATTCGTTGTTTCATTAATTAAGGTTGGAAAGATAAACGATTGCTGCAAAAATTAACCCAAACCTCGAAAACACAATACAGCACCTCGGCCGCAAACACTTAATCATACAAAGTCATATATTCTACATTTTAAGTATGAAATTATCAGCATTTATAAAAAAAATCTTTGATATTTTGATTTTTTGTATATTCTTTGTATGTATGAGAATGTGAGAAGAAATTGTTACAAAGAACTTGTTGAAAATGATACATAATAAAAATGTTAATATCTTATGACTGAAAGTTTGCGGAAATAACAAAACGATTCTGAATGGATAGTTGTTGTCTTTGGCCGCGCCTCCGAAGATAATTCACGGTTTTAGGATGGTGCGTCACCCCGCTGAACCGTCCGGTACGTTATCCACGCATTCTGCGGGGCAGAAATTCGCGTAGAATGACTAAGGAAACTCTATTATTACACCGGCGGAGCAGGTCCGATTCTAAATAAATAATCTAGTGGCCTATTGCGTACGTATTGGCGCAAATATAGGCGTTCTTTACTAAATTCGGACGGAGATAAAGGCGATGCCTGATTTACGAACACACCCCCGCACCACTGGATATCGGTTTGGACTCGAGCAAAGGTACTCCAAACAATTCGAGGAAGCTTACTTACGTCATAAACATTATTTTCCATCACTGTTCTATTCTTCTGGGTTTTCGAAAATATGTGGTATTTTGTGATGTCACGCAATGGTGCGCTTTAAACGGTTTATGCACCTTGACGATATAATATTTATGAAAGCGTCAATAGGTTGCAAAATCAAAACGGAAACGTTTTACGATCTGTGACCTTAATACTAAGATGATTGATGTCGACGCCGGTTTTAAGTTGAAAACGGATTTTGTCAGTTTGTAAGGTGGAGAAGTCATTAGTTGTTGGGCTTCCGTGAGATTTCGGCATTTAAGTTTGATTTACGAGAAACAGGTGCCGAGTAAACCGAAAGATGCGAAATGACCGAAATAGACCAAGGACTCGCGGTGGCAAACGCTAGAGAAAACAAACGTTAGAGTTAGGTGCGCGTTTGTTTTTGTCTGAATCATGCACGTTTTCAAGTTGTCCGGCGTGGAAAGGGAATCCCCGCAACATTATTGCAAATCGCTTATCACGAATTCGCGACTTCTCGGTCGGGGTTGGTTGGGAGGAGCTATAATGGGCCGTCCGTGAAAACATAACATTGCGAACGTGACTGAGGCAGCGGGGTCGCGTAGGTGAAATGTTTTAATAGCCACTTCCACTTAATATTTAAGACGGATGCAACGGCGAGACGGTTTCGCTCCTGGTTGGCACGGGAAAAACAAAAAAGCGCGACTGTCACCCGTACATTAACTTATTACTTCAATTGCTATCGTCGCTAGAGTTTATTTTAAATACGCGAGTGCATCGCGGGCCCACGCCATCGTTTCCAAGTGTTACACATCGAACTGCCAAACGCGGCGTGGCAAATAACTTGGACTCGGACCTTGCGTACTAGAGTATACTCAAATTGTAAACTATGCCTCTAATTGTTCTGATTGAAATAATTAAAATCGGACGGCGACTTATATTGGCCGAGTAAAATGTGCTTTCAACTCTCATTAAAACATCCAACAAAAATCTCTTTACCTACTTAAGTCTTGCGTCACATTTGCGACATCTTAGCACCTGCTCTGGCATTTGCTAACTCCTTCTTATACCAATTAACGACGTCTTCACGACACGCTCTCGCATTATTAACCCGGCTAATAACAGATAATTTCCGCCATCTAACGAAGAATATTACTAACTAATACGGTTTTCGAAAGCGGGTATTTTCTAGAAATGTTTGGTCAAAACTGACATCATTTGTGACGAAAATTTTTATATATACAGTGTGTCCCCGAAGAGGTGAAACGACTCTTATAAGATGTAAAATTTTTTTGATATTAATTGTCATCTTTTGGGGTTTGGCCTTCCTTGTTTAAAACATTATTTTTGAACATATTTTCAAAAAAAAAACTTCTTGTGTGTCAGGTAAAGTGCCTTTTCTATGCTAAAATGTTACTAAGAAATTTTATTCAGAATGAAAAGTTATATCCATACGCAAATTTTCGTCAAATTTGTTTATTATTTTCGTCAATACTAGTACTTTATTACAATTTTTTGTTTTGAGATTCAGATTGTTCGGGAGAAATAAACAAATCGTTCTTAAAATGTTCACCAAAAATTAAGTGTGTGTTCGCCCACAAAAGAAAACAGTTATTCATAGTTAACTCAGTTTCAAATCAGTTTCATCATAATTTTTTTTTCTTATAGTGAACACTTCCTGCTGTAAGAAATCTTTTGATTAAACGCCAACAAGTACTACTTTGAAATCTAGTATTTGGAAATTTTTCACTAAATAAAGCAATAACCATATTTATCAGGTTTTCCCCGATTCCATAACATTACATAGAATACATATCGGGTAGGCGGACCAACCAATCTTGCACCGCGACCCTAAGGATCTATTGTACCCCGATAGATATCGTTATCAAATTTCACCGTGCAGTCCAATGCTCTTAACGAACATTAATACCTTGCTCGGCGAAAGGTCATTCAGATCTTTTCAGGAAATAAACTGCGACCCAAAAATCGAGAATCTGATACGGTTAACGGCAGGGCAGTGGCATAAAACATGCTCAACCGTCTCTGCTTCCTCCGCACATAGTCGGCATTCAACATCGTCGGCTAAACCCAACAAGTTGAGGTGTGCTTTTAATCGGCAGTGCCCAGTAAAAACACCCATTAGAACTTTTATGCTACTACGGGCAAGTCCTAAAATATTCCCGGGTTTGACAGTGGCGATGTTAATAAACACCTTAGCATGTCTCATTCCAGGAGAACTGGTCCACAGTAGGCGAAGTCTCTCTTCAGCCCACAGTCCAATCCTATATTTGGCCATCGCAAATGATACACAAACTGCTGGTTCCGGTCCCACAAACGCTTTAGCGCTGCCCTCTCGTGCTAGCTCATCTGCCGCTTCATTGCCAGCAACCCCAGAGTGACCCGGGACCCAGATCAGAGAGACTCTGTTATCACAACTCAGTGTGTTTAATGTTCTCTTACAATCATTAACCAGAGCCGACACCGTTTTCACGGCTTGCAGCGCCTGGAGAGCGGCTTGACTGTCTGAGAAAATTCGTACTGTCATGTTCTTCACCCCTCTTTCAAGAAGGATTTTAGCACCCATGTCAATAGCAAATACTTCCGCCTGGAATACAGTACAGTACGTACCCAGGCTGTAGGCTTGCTTAATTCGAGGTGTCTGGCAGTATACTCCTGCTCCTACCCCTTCAGGCGTTTTTGATCCATCTGTGTACAAGCAAATGTCTGCCCGAACCAGAGAATTTTCATTTTCGATCCAGGACTGCCGCTCAGGCAGTACAATCTGGTATCGAGCATTAATCACTGATAGTGATACCGCCAAATCTGACGGCATTGATAGCACAGTATCAGTGCTTATAATGTCTTCCGCAGCCCATTGGTAGGACATGTCGGAACAGTTTTGAGCATATTGCTTAAATCTGTAAATGGTTGTTCTAGCCACTTTCTCTATATGCAAATGCAGAGGAGATAGGCCAAGCAGAACCTCCATTGCTAGAGTTGGCGTTGTGCCTATCGCACCAGAGATTGCCAATCCAGCTACTCGTTGAATTCGTGAAAGTTTACTGATAACTGAAGTCTGTCGGACTTTCCTATACCAGGCTGCTGCTCCGTATGTGATCATAGGTCTAACCACAGTCACATAGAGCCAGTACAGTCTTTCAGGGGTAAGACCCCAATTTTTGACAAGTCCACAAGGATAGTCTAGCTTTGTGCAAAACTCCCTGCAAATGTCTATTCCATGACAGGGTTTTGTCTAGGATTACTCCTAGATATTTGACTTCCTTTGAGAAAGGAATTTCTTCACCTTGGATAGTTGGGCGGATTAGTCCATCCAACTTTCGCTTCCTGGTGAAGGGCACAACAATTGTCTTTTGCGGGTTTATTGAGAGGTTCTCTCCCTTACATCAAGCGCAAATGGTATCTAAGGTCACCTGGAGGACTTTAGATATCCTCGGCAAACAGGTTCCTTTGACCATAACGATAATGTCATCAGTATAAGCTTGTATTTCCACACCAACGGAGGGACAAAAGCAGGGGAGATAACACCCCTCCCTGCGGGCAGCCACCTCCCGGCCTAAAGCGTATCGTATCACCGTGGAGTGAAGTAGAAACTATTCTACTATCTAGCATATTGCGGATCCAACCCGCTATAGTTGCTTCCACTCCCCTGTCAAGAACAGCTCTTTCAAGAGATTGTGGTATTGCGTTGTTGAACGATTCCATAACACTTAACATTGTATTTAAAAAACACTTTAAGTTTACTAAATTACAGTTTGACAGATTAACATTGACAGAAAAGCAATTTTGTTTTTCCATGGCAGTCTTTGTTAGAAATAAAATTGTTTGATATGGATTTTTATCAAAGTAGGTCGATCATTCCGAAAATTTGTATATGGCCATAATTTTACATTCTGAACAAAACTTAACTTACTGTAAACAGAAAAGGTACTTTGCCTGCCACAAAAAGAGTTTTTCTTTCACTGTCAAGGCTCACTTGTTTTTTAAGAATTGATAATATGTTCAAAATTACTTTTTAATCAAGCAGGGCTAAATCCCAATTAATATCGAAAAAAATTTACCTTTTATAAGAGTCGTTTCACCTATCCCGGGACACACTGTATATTTTAGAAATTAAAATGATTATTATTTACAAGTTGTTAAATGAAAATATTTTCAAATTTGTTTCACACAATAATAAACAAAAATAATATTTATTCTTTTTTGCTTGTTATTGAGAAAAAGTTATGAGATAATGAACCTTATATATAACTTGCGTAAGGTTTATTAATAGGTATGGCGATATTCACGTTTCTTTTCCATTCGTCAAATTAGAAATGAATCTTATTTAATCATACTTACTTTTTGGAATTTACTTTCTAATTATATTTGAAATAGTCAAAAATGTTGTCGTTAACATTTAAGGTCAAAAAACAGATGTGTTCATTGTGTACGTAAATATAGAGGAGTTGTTATGTAGGTCAGTGGGTATTTTGATTAGAAACGTCTTGCTCAAGGTTTCCTCTTTAGATATCCGGCAAGGATGCGGGAAATAAAGGCGGAAGTAATAACAAACGAGAAAAATATACGCGAATATATTTAAAATAATACTTTCATTCGATGACAGCGTTACCAAAATATACAATACAATATAACATCGTCGTGCCGAGAGAGAGAGAGAGAGAGAAAGAGAGAGAGAGAAAAAATAATACGAATATCACAGCAACAAATTACGAACGTAGAGGAAAACGATCGATTCTCGTGTCAAAAATGCTATAGTTCACCCGTAATCTTACTATTCTTTGGCAAAATAAGTCTCCGGATAGCCGGTTTAAGAACACGCGCACTCAAGCACCTTCATATTGTCCCATTTCTCGAAATACAACTTGGTCGCGTCGTAAGGATCCACCCTGAGGATCTCCAGCGGTTCCAATTTTGACGGTGCACAACATACTTTCGGCACAGTCTTATTCACCTTGTGAATAATGCTCTGGATGCGCGAATGATTCGTGGCGTGGTTATAATTGACAGGACACCTTCCCCTGCAATAACTCGCCTCGTACGATTTTGGTTGTATGATCGAATTCATCTCGACCATATTCAAATCTTTAAATGTAACAGTATATCGATGTCTGCAACATTTCTTTTTTGAGTCGTTCGATCGACAATCGGTTCTTTCCCTTCCCGATTGTTGAAGACTTCTTTTTCTTCTTACTTCTTTTGATACAACTAAAACATTCAAGGATGTTTCTAATGGTTTCAATCCTCTTGAACATTCCACACATTCCACTTCTAAACCCAAATTTCTGTCCCCGTTCAACCAGGATCTCGTCGATGACGTCACGTCTATATCAAACCACTTTGCGTCTTTATTTGAAGGATAAAAAACATTTTCCCCGACAAGTCTTCGCCTTCTAGTACTTAAAATTTGGTAAATCCTCACGTGGATTAAATCCGTATCGGGAACTGGAGGTGCTAACATTTTTAGCTCGGAACTTTCGACGTCGACCCCTTGGTCGGCTTTTATAGGAAAGAATATTCTTCCCGATCGACTTCTTCTCCAAGATTTACGCTCTAAAATGAAAAAAGAAACAAATAAAAAAATAGAATTATTTTTATCCTTTAATATTATTTTTAGATCATTCGAGATTTTTTTAGACGTTCTCATTCTGATATTAATACGTCCATCACCTCTATAAAAAAAAGTTTATTTCGAATCAAAACAAATTTTATGAAAACCAAAACAAAATTTCAAACGTATTTAAAATAATTATTTAAAGATTTATTTTCTTAGAGCCACTTTAATTCGATTAACGACCGCTTTAGTTTGGCGTTAAACGTTTTCGATTTAAAATACATTATAAATAGATCGTCCTCCGGTTGGAATTCAGCATCTTGTGATCGGGCTAATAGTCAATACGGCGCTACGACGTTACGACGTCTCTATTTCGGTATCAGGACGGCTATGTTTAGGCGCCGCGACGCCAACGTAAAGCCGCCCGTGACGATACGATTTCGTTACGAAGCAAGCCTTTCGGACGTCCTTTACCGACCACCCGACCACCTGTTGGATTTGCACGTGGCCGTTACGACAGCGGTTCGTTGACCATTATCATCATAATCACTTTTATGTAGATTCTTATTTATATATAATTATGAATTAATTTTGTTTTGTTGGAATTTCTTGCAAAATGAAGAGATCTTCATTAATGTTTTCTTTAAGTAATTATTTTTTTTGTTTACTTTTTTGCGCTTAGAAAGACGAAGAACGTCTAAAGCTTGCCAAGAGATTGTTTAAGCCCTATTTATATTTTTTTTTACTATTTGATGATCGAACGTCTCGCTTGACCAGACATTTAAATCTTTTAATCTCGTGGCTTCTTATGCGTTACTTCTTATTTTTGGTTCCAATTAATTTTGATTTTTGATTTAAAAAAATGTAAAGGGAAAAAACACCAACCTGACTTAAAGGTGAGTAGTTTGGGTAGTTCGGTCTGGACGATGCGAGACCGTAACCGGTCCAAGTACAGGGTCATCATACGCGTGTACTCCTCCTGACTAACGTTGATCTGCAACAGAAGAAGTTAAGACGTCGGTATCGAAGGGCGCAACAGGTGCTTCTTGTTGTTTTGAAAGTGGTACCTTCTTGACGTCGGGAAAGTGGTCCAAACCGAGATCCTCAACGGGCCCTCCCGGAGGTGGTGGAGACGAAAGGGTCGCACAAACAGAACACACGTACGTCCACAGGGTCAGTCGCGTCCACAAGTGATAGCCCATAGCCTAGCGGTCACCAAAGGCGGGCGTCGTTTTGCGTCTGGCGCATGTCGCGCGGCGGCTCGACGCTGACTACACAACCACGATTGAGACGCGCGGCGCCTAGTCGCGGTTTTATACGGTCTCCGAGGAGGGGAGCATGCCGGCCACGGGGCCGCTGCCGCCGATTTTCGATGCCCCCATCGCGCTCCACAATTGATAAATTTCCCTTTAACAACCAAATCGATGCCTTTAGGGGCAAAACTTCTCAGAACCAACCCTTTCCTTGAACACCTTCGCCACTTTTCCTCGAATTATATATTTCCCCTTACTTACTCTCAAACTCTTCGCTTATAGACTTATAGCCCCCAAACGTTACCCCCAAGAACATTTTTACGACCTACCCTATTACCCTTCTCAGAACCATTTTGGACACACTTTCATTTTATTACAGAGAGAGAAATATATCTTTATTACAGCTATCGACCTAATGGTTATAATATTTCCACTGGTTATAACTACAACAAAGAATTTCACAATATTATTATTAATTAATTGTCTTCCTCTGATCAACTTCCATCTCTTTAAACATAATTTATGTATTTTTTCATAATTGTTTCTGTTGTCTAAAAATTTCTTCCCTAGTCTGTCTTGTCTTAGTCTTATAGGTGCAATACCAATCATTTCCTATAAGGTCTCGTATCTTACAGATAATCCTCAAGCATTTTCTTATACAATCACCATTATGATTATATTTGGTCAGTATTTAGACCTGTCAGCAGTAGCTAGTCTTCAGAAAGCAGTATTTAGTCTCCACAAAGAAATTTTAGTCTTTAGAAAGCAGTATTTCGTGTTCCAGACGCTGTATTTAGACCTGTCGGCAGTATCTAGTCTTCTAGAAGCAGTATCTAGTCTTCTGCCAAAGTTATGTATGTTTTCTCCAAAATATTTTATCTTTCTTTTGCAGTATTTAGACCTATCAGCAGTAGCTATTCTTCAGAAAGCAGTATTCAGTCTCCACAAAGCAATTTTAGTCTTTAGAAAGCAGTATTTAGTGTTCCAGACGGTGTATTTAGACCTGTCGGCAGTATCTAGTCTTCAGAAAGCAGTATTTAGCCTTCAGAAAGCAGTATTTAGTCTTCTAGAAGCAGTATCTAGCCTTCTGCCAAAGTTATGTATGTTTTCTCCAAAATATTTTATCTTTCTTTTGCAGTATTTAGACCTGTCAGCAGTATCTAGTCTTCAGAAAGCAGGATTTAGTCTCCACAAAGCAATTTTAGTCTTTAGAAATCAGTATTTAGTGTTCCAGACGCTGTATTTAGACCTGTCGGAAGTATCTAGTCTTCAGAAAGCAGTATTTAGTCTTCTAGAAGCAGTATCTAGACTTCTGACAACATTATGTATGTTTTCTCCAACAATATCTTATCGTTCTTTTGCAGTATTTAGACCTGTCAGCAGTAGCTATTCTTCAGAAAGCAGTATTTAGTTTCCACAAAGCAATTTTAGTCTTTAGAAAGCAGTATTTATTGTTCCAGACGCTGTATTTAGACCTGTCGGAAGTATCTAGTCTTCAGAAAGCAGTATTTACTCTTCTAGAAGCAGTATCTAGTCTTCTGCCAAAGTTATGTATGTTTTCTCCAAAACATTTTATCTTTCTTTTGCAGTAGTTAGACCTGTTAGTAGTATCTAGTCTTCAGACAGCAGTATTTAGTCTTCTAGAAGCAGTATCTAGTCTTCTGACAACGTTATGTATGTTTTCTCCAACAATATCTTATCTTTCTTTTGCAGTACTTAGACCTGTCAGCAGTATTTAGTCTCCACAAAGCAATTTTAGTCTTTAGAAACCAGTATTTACTGTTCCAGACGCTGTATTTAGACCTATCGGCAGTATCTAGTCTTCAGAAAGCAGTATTTAATCTTTTAGAACAGTATCTATTCTTAAGAAAGCAGTATTTAGTTTTTTAGAAGCAATATCTAGTCTTCTGCCAACGTTATGTATGTTTTGTTCTTGATACTGACAGCTACTTCTTTCTGGGGGGATAGACCATCATCTTTTTGGGAGCCCCTTATTATCTACACGGATCTTGTACCACCCGGTACCTCATTTCTGCAGCTGTTACTTTGCTTTTGTGCTTATCCTGCATTGGCAAAGTTTCCGTATTGGTGATTTCCTATCCTGTGCAATAACAAGACAAGTCCATTGGTTTCTTGTTCATATTCTTCGCATTCTTTTATTGAACACATAAGTATTGCCATGAAAAATCAATTTTTTGTTTTCTCTGAACAGTAATTTCAGACTTCATGTGGACTTTGAACAATGTAATTCCTGTTTTTTGCTGAAGTCTAGTTTATAATTATTGCAATTTCAGACTTTGCGCCCCCCCGCATTCCGCTCAAAATGCTTGGAGGGGGGGCGCCACCCCGGTTCCCGCACCCTAGCGCTTCATTTGCTAGCGCCGGCACTGTATACAATATTACTATATTCAATCAATGGTCTACATATGCTCTTATATATGCAGCCACAGGTAGCATACCTTCTTACCAGTCGGGGTTCAGACCACTGCATGGCTGTCAAACTGCACATAATAATAATAATGAACTTTATTGTGCTCCATAAGATTCTACATATTAAAGAAAAAAAAAGAATACATGAATTAAAAACGAAAGGGCACAAAAGGCGGGTTCCAGACTTTAGTCTGTTCTAACCAACCATTAATCAAAAAAAAAAAATAATAATACAGACAAAATACAAATAATAATAAAAAAAACAGCAACAACAGGATGCACACCAAATGCAAGATTATGTAAAAAAAAAATTTAATAAGAAAAACCTGTCTTACTTAACTGTCGAACCGACAATGACAGACTTCCCAAAAATTTGTAGACATGATAGGTGAACAATGATGTTCTGTACTTAGGTGGCACAATTGCAGGGCCAAATCTGGTTGGATATCTCTCATCTTCTGACTTAAAAGTTATTTTGTCATAGAGGTACAACAATTCTGTATTTTTTGGATACGGTAAGACGTATCCATGTCGATTGCAGCGTGATAGATAGGTGTCATGTAATTAAAGTGTGATAAGACATATGTATCATATAATTGTTTTTTTAACGTTATATGACAAATAAGACGAATAGGGATATAGCTTCCTTAGACATACCACGATACCTAAAACTACGGTCGAGCGTTAAGCCTAAGCACTTCACACTATCCACGCGCTGCAAACGTGTATCCCCCAATTTGATATCAATATCAACCCGCCCAATCCCCAGAGTAGTTCCAAAACAAATCCACATTGATTTCTCAGGGTTAATTTTTAATTGATGATAATTAGCAAACTTCTGAATATCCCGTAAGTCCTTATTTAAGCTTAGCGCACACATCACCTCTGCAACAAGTAACGACTGATACACCTGAACGCCATCGGCACACATATTAATATTGGAGGAAGTTAGCAAGGAAGCAAATCTCGACTTATAAAGAGCAAGCAAAAGTGGCCCCAAGACCGAACCCTGCAACTTTAACTTTTTATGTTCTACCATGGACGCACTCAAAATATCATCCGTGAGCCCCAGCATAGCTTTAGTACATAACTGTAGTAACAAGCTGTTCTGTTCAACATCTCAGACATAGTAAATCTTAGACATAGTTGGTAGGATACTGATCGGACGCAGATCTCTATAATCAACTGGATTCTTTTTCTTTGATAAAGGAAGTATGACAGCTCGCTTCCACGAGTCCGCTCCTATTGATGGAGAATCTATCACCGTAATAACCTGTAATAGCTCATACCTGGTAACCGTCATCACGGATGACATTGTGCAGACTTTAGACCGGGGGATGATTACTGTTTTGGTCATGCTTGATTACTCTTTAAGTCTTTTGACTCTTTAAACATTTGATATTCTGATCGCCGTCTTGTGCGAAGCTACTTGACAGGTAGGTCGCAGCGAGTTGTGCTGGGTGGTGGTTCTTCTAGTTCCAAGCTCTTGTTGTCTGGTGTTCCACAGGGGGGATTTTGAATCCCTTACTTTACACAGTGTACACCTCAGAGTTGCCGGCTAAAATTAAAAATTGCAAATATCATTTTTATGCGGACGATACACAAATTTATTATTCCTTCTACCCATCTGACGCTCTGGTGACTACTGAAATCATTAATAGTGATCTCGAAGCTGTGTCATCCTTTAAACACTGCTTATGTCTGAGTCCGACGAAATGTGCGGCAATTTATAATATTATATATTATTTATAATATTATATAATATTAATATATTTATTTATTTTTACGAATTTATTTAGTTTTGATATTTTTTGTATTATTTATTATTATTATTATTATATTTGCATCGCTGTCTTTATGTTTATGCCCTTGTCTTTATAACTTAGAGATCTAAAATATTTCGCCCGTTTAGACATTTCCCCCTGTACTTTCCTATAGTGTGTACTCATGTTTAATTTGGAATCGATGTTCATTCCTAGGTACTTAATGTTCTGTAATGGTTTTATGTTAACCGTATCCATCTTAATAATTGGAGACGTTTAAACTATTCTGTGATGTGGAATAAATAATTGAAATTTAGTTGGGTTTGGTTTAAATCTCCATTTATAAAACTATAATATTACACATATTTTGGAGCTTGTTGATCGTTTTCTCTAGGTTTTTGTCGTGTGATACATCGGCAACCTGTAGTATGTATTGATCTGCACAATAGATGTTGTACAGTGGAACACCTTGTAATTTTATTACATTTTCTTACATTAGTAAAAAATTAATATATTAACTTCTTAGAACTATCCAGACACACCTTCGTTTAAACAGGAATTTCATTGAGCAGATGGTTTTTAAGAAATGCTTGTCTTAGGTTTCATTTTTCTTAAAAGAAAGTATATTTTAAAAATTGACGTGTTCTTAGAATCGAAGTAGAGGTACTTTTAATTATTATTTTTTGCTTCTCCGTAGGGACATATAGTTTGGAATCACCAGGTGAATCACATTCTGAGTCATATATCATTAAGTTGTAGCTAATTTACTACTACAGTGAAATTCCCCTAACTCGAATCACTAAGGGAGCGGAAAAAAA